GAAACACCCACTAGTCCCGCAACACAAGCTCTAACTCAGAGTCAATCTCAGTCTGGAGCTTTACCCCCTGTACCCCCTGTAAGGGGTAAGCCTAAGGTTGAACGTCCCAAAACATCACTTGTATGGAAATTTTTTAAACATGATAAAGTCAATCATCGTGCTATCTGTGAAAAATGTAAGCAACAATTTGCACACTCAATAAGTGGTGGGACAGGGGGTTTAACTAGACACTTAAGAAGTGCTCACAAATATTTATGGATACAAGCTAACATAGAAGCCGGAAAAATTATAGATCCTACCATCAGTTCTGACACTCCTAGTGGATCTGGTTCTAATCAAATTCAACAACAACTTGACCCTGCTTCTGGTCATGTTTTACGCAAATATAACAAAGATAGGGATCGTGAGAACTTAGCAAAAATGGTGGCTGTCTGTGGCTTACCTTTTACTTTTCCTTCTCACCCTGCTTTTGTGCATTATATACAAGAAACTTATAACCCCACTTTTCAAGGTTTTCCTGAGACCACGGTTAGAAATGATGTTTTTAAATTTCAAACCGAATGTCTTCAGTATATTCGTTGTGTATTTTTCACTTAGATTGTAAAGTGTCTATCACGTCTGATATATGTCGTAGTCCTAATGGTTGTGATTATTTAACTGTTACATGTCATTGGGTTGATCATCACTGGAACTTGCAAAAACGTATTATAGGTTATAAATTTGTTGATTCAAAACACAGTGGAGCATATATTGCAACTACTGTTCTACAAATACTTGATTTTTATGGACTCGTTAATAAAGTTTTAACTATCACCTTAGATAATGCTTCTGCTAACACAACCGCGGCAAATAGCTTAAAATCTAGACTTTGTCCAATTAATCCAACAATTTTTCATGTTAGATGTGCATGCCATATTTTTAACTTGGTAGTAAAAGATGATCTTAATTTATTTTCTGATGCTTGTAGTAAAATACAACATGCTTGTGGCTATATTTTTCGTGCTCATAAACAAAGTAGAATTCGTGAATTTGCTCAACAATGTGCTAGTGTTGGCCTTCCATTTAGAAAAGTTCCAAAAGATGTTTGTACTAGGTGGAATTCTACTTATGAAATGCTTACAGTTGCTTATGATTATCGGGTGCCTATCCAAAAGGTATTTAATATGCATAATGCTTACCCTGTTGATCAAATTGTTGATTCTGATTGGGATGAGATCAGAGAGCTTACTAAATTTTTAGAAAAAATTTATTATGCTACAAAACAATTTTCTGGTATATATTATCCTACTGTTACACAAATATTATGGTATATTTGTGGAATTTCTGTTGTATTTGGTAAGTATAAAAAAAATCCAACTTATGCACCGACCATTAAAGAAGTGATTTTAAAATTTAAAAAGTATTTTTTTCCCTATTCCCGAAGTTTATTTAATTTCTAATTTGCTTAACCCATCTTTAAAACTAAGAGGTGCAAAGGGACTTGTTCGTAAAATTTATGAGAATTTAGAAATTCAAGAAAATGAACAACCATCTCTCGAAAACTGCCAAGCTAGCATATATTCTTATGCTAGATCAATGTTTGATAAATATAAATCTATGGATACAACTGGTACTGAAACTGCTCCTTCTACTTCTAAGTCTGGAGCAGAAGTTTTATGGGAAGATATGAATGATATAACACGTTTTGATTCCTCTAATGATGATGAACTTGATTCTTATCTTAATTAAGGATTGGAAAATATTAAAGACGACACAAGGAAATGAACAACTTTTGTCATGGTGGAGGGAGCGTGGCAAGGCTTTTCCAACACTCTCAATTATGGCCCGAGATATCCTGGCTATTCAAGCATCATCAGTAGCATCGGAGAGTGCTTTTAGCGCGGCAAGATTTCAAATTGGAGATCATAGACATTCATTAGCGGAGGACAGTCTAGAGATTTCCGTATTATTCAGAGATTAGATTAATTCAGAAAGAAGAAATCTTGGTTTTGAAAAATTAACCACTAGGGAAGAAGAAGAATACAATGAGATACTTACCACTGGGAGCAACGACGGCATAGAGCTCATGGAACATCAATAAACATTGCCAATTTCAGTAGAATGTCCGAGAGATATTATTGATAAGTTACAAAGAAGCTATATAGGAGCTTACAAATATTAGTATGATAATTTGTAATTGGCTACTAAGAGGCCTAGTTCAAACAGAACCCTTCCTAGAAGGTGGCTGCGTAGATTAGGTGCTCTTCAAAAGAATTATATTTGTATTTGAGATTTGAAAGTTCTATTAATAAAATAAAAGGCTTTAAGCGTTGAATTATTTTTATGAATTGTCTCAGTTACTTAATAGTTAATATTTTAAAATTATATTAAATAAATTATAACTCTATTATAAATTTATATTTACTAGAATATTTCATTACAAGTCTTTTGTTTTAATATTTTAAAATTCTTTACTTAGTTTTCTAATTTTCGTTTTAACATATTAACATTTAAGTTTATTAAATAAGTCAAAAATCTAGTCGTTGCAAACTTTAAAAACATAGTAATTTTCAAAAAACTAAACGTTTTTTTTATTAAAAAAAAATACACTTAAGGCCCACGAACCCGTCCCGTCCCATCCCGTCCCATCCCGTTTGTTAGCGGGACGGGATGGGACGACAGTTTCGTCCCGTCCCGCCACCGTCCCGCTTAAATGTCGTCCCGTCTCGTCCCGTCCCGTTAATTTCGTCCCGTCCCGTCCCGTCCCGTTGGACAGCCATATCTTTACATGAAAAGTGACTAAAATTCATTACTTTTGAAACTATGGCTATTTTTGAATAACCACTTGTAAATTTAGCTATTTTTGAATTTCTCCCACTCATGTCCCCTCAACAAGCAGGGCAGTCCCTTGTTATTGGAGTATGTTAAAAATAATCTCCGAAATATAGCTTCGAGCATTTTTCATCCTTTAAATTTGCAAAGAAAGCACTTTTGGTTTTCATTAACTAGTATTTAACAAATTCTGAACACTTAGATTTAATGGGAATTATTTTTGAAAATTAATCAGAAACGCTAGGAGAGTTTCATCAAATCCTAAAATCTAAAATACTAAATACTGCATCAAACACCAAAAATATACCAAAAATAATAGACTTTGCACCTAAAAAAAGTTGCACCTTGAACTAGAACTAGAAATAGACAAAAAATAGAAGAAAATATAAAAAAATGCACCTCCAAATGTGAGTTCCTATTTAATTTATTCTTTTTTTTTTCCATTGTTCACTATAAATTGATCAATAAGAATTTATAAATATTTGATGCAAACTAAAA